TGTCTGCTAAAAAAAATAATGGTTGTGGTCATTTTTTCAATAACCCAAGAAAGGAAAGAGTTAGAGAGCTGCGATTTTCACCAGCCGAAAGAGACGAAACTAGGGCATCTTTTTCTTCAATATTGTAAATTATAAGACGAAATCATTATAAAATCAAACGTTTTTTACAAAACATCGAAAAAAGGCACAAAAATTATCAGCCTTTCATATGAAATTTTGACAAAAAGTAAGAAAATTTAATTAAAAATTTAAGAAAAATTCATACTTTTCGAAGGAATAAATAAAGAATTTGATTGGCTTAACGTTATAGTGCGTGAAGATGATCATTCAAATAATACCTCTAACTATAGATCTGAGGTCCCTCTATCCAAATCACATATTAAAACCAAAATTTCATCAGAACGACAGCCAGCTTTCATGGATTTTTGCAAGGTTTTGCAGAAATGATTGATTTTAAAATGATTTCGTCGTATACAATATTGAAGAAAAAGATGCTCTAGTTTCGTCTCTTTCGACTGGTGAAAATCGCAGCGCTCTAACTCTTTCCTTTCTTGGGTTATTGCAAAAATGACCACGACCCTTATTTTTTTAACGGACAATAGTGCTTTTAAAATCTGAATATCAACCCTAATGAAAATTATTCACTTAGATCACACTTAAATGAAGTTTTCTCACTAAGATAGATATGTTCAAACCGATGGTTCATTTTCTGAGTTTTCAGAAGTAACGCTTTAAAACATACATTCCTCTACTTCTATCAATCATAGCATGTCATAAAATCTACAGACTTTTGCCGGTTTTTTTCTGGTTCAATCGTAGATATAAACAGGTCTATTATATGGAGCTTCAGTCCAATTTGGTTTAAAAGATTCAGCCGATTCAAATTCTCATCATATCATCGCTCGTTACCCTGTACTGACGACTGTTTATTCCTAGTTTATATCACGCCACCATGTAATCATTGAGGACGATATTAATTGATTTGTTTCTTCCGATTTTATATCACGTCCCGATGCGATCGTTGACGTCACTCTCATTCTGTTCGTTTTTTTTCTATTCTGCTTCAGGGTATCATGCGTGCACTGATAATATTTTATTGGTCTGCTGCTTTTTCCTACTTTTTAATTATACTGTGATGGCTTCACTAATGACCTTCTATTGGTCAATTGTTTTTTCCTACTTTTTAATATGGCTGTCATATGTTCGCTCATGATAATAAATTGCCTGACACTGTCTTCCGAATCTGATATTAGGGTGTCTTGCGTTTGCTTATGATGATGTATTGAAAAATTGTTTGTTCCGACTTTTCTTGATAAGGAGAGAGTGAGTGAGTGATTCGATTTTTTATGACGAATAACTCGTTGTGCCTTTATTTACCATTGGTTGATCATGAAAAAAGGGAAAAAAACCAGATGAGCTAGCTTCATGAATCTTCATTTTCTCTGTATGAAAGAGAGAGAAACTAGGAAAATAAATATTTGATTGATGTCCATTATTGATACTCAGCAATACCATGTATATAAAAGCAGCATCAAATTGTATTGCCTTCACTATTCGTTAATGTGATGCAGGGAACAAACAGAGCATCGTTGCTTTGTGCAATGCCTAATCAGCTGTTTCTCTCTGCGTTACACGATAGTATATGGCTCGTATTATATGAAAGACCAGGACTTTGGTGTTGAATCATGAGCCACCTAGATCTATTCATTTTTGGTTATATGTGATATTGATATATATGCATCTTTTCAGATAAGACTCCGCAAATTATCTGCCTTCTTTTGAACCTTGTACGGTTTGCAATGCAACAACATCAAAGTCAACACGGCAACTTTATTGGGTGAGTAGCTTTTCTGATTTCGTTTTTTGTAAAAGCGACATTTTAAATTTGGTCCTACAAATGAAAGAAAGAGAAAAGGAGCATTTGTCGAAAATCTATCTGTAATTTTCGATTGACTATTTTGAAATCATCATTGAGAAGAAGCAGAAACAGTTTTTTCAGATGAGTTTTCATCATTGAGTGTAATCATTCGGTAATCATTCTAACAGTGACAAACAATCGAGAGCGTACATGAAGATTAAAAGTCAATGATTGTTTTCTGATCATAGTGACTATATTCAATCATGTACGAAAACGATCTATTGTATCTTCTTCACGTGCGTTTTGAATCGCGTTTTCAGTCAAATTTTCCGGAAAAGCATGTAAGTGGACCAAAAACGAAAACAGTGATCCTTCTGATGAGTAATATGGTGGAGCCTTGGTATGCGGCAAACGAACACATTGATCAGCTTTTATGTGTTTAAACGCGTTCAGAATACTAAGACTGGATGAATGCAAGTCAATACCTGTTTAACTAACACTGTCTCATAAAACTATTAAGAGAACTCATCCATAAGTATCTAGAACTTCTAAAGATGTCGAAACGCATCCATATAAAACATTTTAGGACAATGTTTTTGCGACAACATATAAGGGAAAGTTAGAATTTTCATTCACAACACTTAATACTCGTGAAATTCTAACAGATTCTAAATGTTGGTCATTGCTATTGTTCCAGAAGCTAGAAAGAGATTCCTATGAGTCTAGTGTGTAAAACTGCTTCAAAATAATTACGAATTCAAAAGTGATCTGATATTGTTCACACAGTTACTATCTGAAAAAGCATATGTATCAATTGAAACATGGAGATTTACAGGGGTTAGAAATTTATTTTTACATTTTAAACATTACTTCACATTTGACTACACTTGTCAAGCAGTTTTGTGTGTACGATCTTGACTCGCAGACGTAGATAAGTAATTTGAAACAGATTTCGTCACAAATTGTCTGTTGATAGGCGAACGTGGTTGTTCATTGGTATTATTGTCCTATGCTTGAACGGACTTCATTCATCACGTATGGATTTTGACAATGATAATCTGGTTGAAATGGTATTCGATTTTCTTTTCCTAAATGTGTTCAGTGTGCTATACTATTTTCTTATCTTTTAGTTTGACAAAGACCATCGCCCAGCGTTATACTCGATGAATCACCGCCTGAGAAGGTCTGTACATGCATCCTTTCGTTTAAATCTACGAACTCTTTTGACACGTACTTTTAGAGGCAATTCTGGAAACAATGGGAACTCTGGCAACAATGGAAATCCATCAAATGCAAAGGATCAATGTGATAAAAAGCAAAATAGCATTTCGGATCGATGCAGTTGCAATTCACACGCTGAGTGTGCCAGTGGTATTTGTCGCGGAAACAAATGTCGAGGTGAGATGTTATTCGAAAGTGATACTTTGAATCGTTTGTGAATGAACAGAGCATTGTTGTGCAAACCAGTTCTTTTATTGTGGATTCCTAATTTCTATTCTCTAAATTGATGACTTCATCATAAACTGTATCACTCTTTTCAATACAACTAGATAAACGTTTCTTCGTTTCTGAGATTAATTGATTTTTGTATACTTTGGCAATTCCATCGGAAGAATCCTTGAAACGTCCGATAGATTCACGTTTTTTGTGTATATCTGTATAAGAAGAAAAATAGACAGTGTAGCGACAGTTACAATGAAGTTTGAATCTCAATTAATAGTCGACATGTTTTAATTGCTATGAACTCATCTATTTTCGTGCAGCCTTAGTTCTAGGAAATATTTTAATAAATCGAATGAACCACGAACCGATGTTTTAGAAGTAGAGCCGTAAGAGGACTGGAAGCTGGGATTTCATGATTATCTATCGAGTATTAGTTACTTAAAATAAGTGGAAGATGTTGAAAATAAAATTAGGCGCTATTGAATTATGGAGAATCGGTGAAAGTCATTGAAAATCTATTGATTAATGATGATTCTTCAGTCATGCCCTTGTTTATTCAAATCATCAGCTTTCTTTTCTTATCCTTCTACGTATTTATTCTCATCATACTTGCAGAGATCTTAAAACACGAGTTACAATCCTAAATGAGCTGGATTTGGAAGAATTCTGATCAAAATCCTATTTCACGTTCTTACCATTTCTACTTCTTAAGAATCCGCTAGGTTTCACATAAAATTATTACTATTCATTTCATGTGGTTGTCTTCGATTAGTCTAGAAAATATGATCTAAGATCGTTTCATAATATTACTATTGTTTTGTTTCGGATCTTCAAAAGAAAAAAAAAGGAAAAGGAAAAGGCAATTCTAACTTTTGGCACTGATAATGTCAACATCTACTTTCGCCTTTTAAGGCAAAAATGGAATAAAATGACTTCAGGTCATTTTTAACCAGAATCTTGCAAATCAAACCTAGCCGGTTATCGTATGTGGTTGCGCGTGACAGGTTTTTGGATATGGGTTTTATTCGTGGAAACACTCAGACATACGCCGACTCATAGAAGTGACTGACCGAAGCCTACTAAGAATAGGAGAAAAACGAAGCATGTGCAGACGATCGAAGGAAGAAGAAATCATTTGGAACGAACAGACACAGTGGGATGCATTCATTTCAAACAATTCTAATTTTGAAAAGCGATATCTGTAGTTTTAATATTGATAGTATGTTCAAAACATTGGTTCAATTTGAGCTGTAGATTTTAGATCCATTTAGCATTTGATTGTAATGTGTTTATTTCGTTTCAAATGTGCTTCGCTCACTAAAAACAATGGAAATAGCTCACATTCGCACGAATTCGAAAGTTAGTCAAATGCCACATATAAAATGAAACTCCAATGAAAAGCAATTGTTTGATAAGGCAATAGTCGGTCATGTCAATTGAGACATCCTACCTAGAGCCCATCTTAGCGAAAAGCAAACAACACTTTAGACGTATCTAGGAATATGAGACTCTTTTTCAGAGAAATATAGGTATTCATACTATATCTTGTTGTCAATTAGCTCTCTGTGAACTCGAATTTGATGCTCAAGTGACTTATCAAGTCGGTAGTAGCCCGCATTTTGTGGCTACCGCCGATGTCAATGGAGATAGTTATCTCGATGTTATTGTACTGAATACCATGAGCCAAAACGTCGGTATTATGCTCAATACAGGTCATGGCACATTTGGCAGTCAAGTTACTTATCTGATCGGTTATTGGGCATATAATATGGCCGTCGCTGATGTCAATGGTGACAATCGCCCCGATATAATTGTGGCGAATAGTGAGCAAAGTACCATTGGTGTGCTCCTCAACACAGGTAGCGGCACATTTGGCAACCAAGTGACCTATTGGGGTGGTTCTTACCCGCGTGGTGTGGCCGTCGCCGATGTCAACGGCGATAATCGTCCAGACATTATTGTAACGAATGCGTATTCAAACACTGTTAGTGTTCTCTTGAACATTGGTAGTGGTACATTCGGTGGACCAACGACCTATTTGGCCAGCTCGTACCCATATTCTGTAGCAGTCGCCGATGTCAATGGTGACAATCGCCCAGACATTGTTGTCACCAATGCCGGAAACAACAACATTGGTGTTTTCATGAACATGGGAAGTGGTTCATTTTCCAATCAAGTGACCTATCCAGTCGGCGATTGGCCGATGTGGGTAGCTGTCGCCGATGTAAATGCGGACGGTCATCCTGACATAATTGTGGCGAATAGTAACAATGTCGGTGTCCTTCTGAACACAGGTAGTGGGTCGTTTAGCACTCAAGTGACCTATACGGTTGGTTTTTGGTTAAATTTTGTGACCGTCGCCGATATGGATGGTGACAGTCTTCCGGACATTATTGTGACGAATACCGGAAGTAGCAGCGTTGGTGTTCTTCGTAATAAAGGTAGTGGCATATTTGACACTCAAGTCATCTATGCCGTAGGCAATACGCCGTATTGTGTAGCCGTAGCCGATGTCAATGGTGATGGTGGCCGTGACATGATTGTGGCCAATGGTGGAAGCAACAATGTCAGCGTCATTCTCACCGATTGCATTTGCCGTCAATGTTGGATCTAAGCTTTTCGATTGGCGTGTCAAGAAGTGAACTACAACTTTATCATTATATGAAGGATTTTCTAAAGACATACAGCTTTCCTCTATATCAATATTTTAGTTGCATATTTGTAATACCATTCCTAACTCTTTGTTAGTAGCAATGTCATGATCAATGTTGCTGCTAATTTTTTACGCTAATTATGCATCTTATTCGATTCTCGACAACTGCTTTTTCTTTCTCTATATCTTTGCTTTCGATTTGTTTGCATTCTATTCTAAATTCTTGTGAATTTCATTACTAAAAGCTTTCAAGTGCCTCTTCTCATAATATAGTTCGCCGATACTTTCTTTTCTTTTCTGTTTTTTGAATAAAACTGTTTCAATTCAATATTGAACCAAACTATTTTTTTCAGCTACGCGTCAAATGACTTGTAACAGCTAAAATAAAAAGTAGGAAAGCAAATAGTAGCCTGTACGAATATGTAAAAATAATGAGAGTTTTTTTCTCAAATTTTGATTCGAATGAACAAGGTAGTATTGAAAAACATAAAAAGTGTTTATGAAAAATTAAACAAAATGAATCTAGAGAAATATTAATTTGTTTTGTAAAATTTGTTTCTGATCATTATACACTGGAGATCATCGTTTGAAGTTCAATCATCAGAATTCTTATTGAAAATACAATATAAAATAATGACATAATAGTATTAAAATTATTTTTAATTTACTTTATAAATCTAATGAAAGTTAAAATACATGCATTGAAATTAGTCGCTGAGGGCAAAGAAGTGTAGCAGTTCCATAGTAGACTTATTATTCACGTATACATTGGCTCATGCACTAATTTCGGCACAAATTATACTACTCTTTTATTAGTAGAGATGACTTCTGTTTTATTTGTTTGAATCTTTTGAGGACACATATTTTGTATACTTACCAGCAATATCCACATCCATTTTTCTGTAATCTTTATTATATGTTTGACTGTTTTCCTTGAAAATGACATTTAAAATATTGAAAGCTTGAGTTTTGTAATCTGTTAATGTTATTTAAAGCCAAGAAAAAATTATATTAATCAATATGATTACTGCTGCTGTGTTTTTTTATATTGCACGTGTTTGATCTCTATCTTTCCAACCTATCGAAAGTGAAATCTCAGAGTTTCGTAGATTTACGAATATATTCGGTGATGTCCTTTACTACTTATTGAGCTAGCACACGTGAACAAAATGGGAGACAATGCAAGTGATCCATTTTCACACGCAGACCATGCCATTCAGATGACCATGTAGCTGTGGAAGAATAGAAATCTCTCACCCACTCACATCTACATCTACTGAGTCACCAAAATCTGCTCCATAAGTGGATTTGAACGATCGACGAGAAAGATTTACAAAATTTTTTTACAATGGACGTATTGAAAATAGTCAACATCAATACAAACATGTTACCTTCTTTAACATCTCATATAAAGCAGCTGTAGAACAGTCATTTCTTCTGCTGGCGAAAGAAATGCACTAAAACACCCTTGCAGTATTTTTATTTCAGTTTAGGCAGAAAAGAATTGAAATATGAATCACTTCTTAGCTTTTCTGCTATTGACGCTGCTTGCTCTTTTCTTTTTGTATAAACATTGTTGCTTTCATCAGTTGAGTTTGTGATGATGACACGTGCAGTCTCGTTTTTCGACTTTCTGCCTGTAGAAATTCTACATATGATTTTTAACTATTTCCGGGCACATGAAATTCTTTTATCGTTTACAAATATTAGTGATCATGTTGATAATGTTTTACTCTCTTATACATCATATAAAATCAATTTTCAATCCATTTCTAAATCTCATTTCGATCTTGTTTGTCGTCGAATTCGACCTTCACAAGTTATCTCACTGATTCTTTCCGATGCTGATGATACACCAGGTCAATCTGCATTGTTTCTATCACATTTTCGGATTGAACAATTCACTCAACTTCAATCATTAACGTTAATCAACATTGAACTTGACTCATTGGATTTGATCTTTTCAAACTTACATCATCTTCAACGACTAAATACATTTGCATATGATTCGAAGACGATAAAAGCACACTACTATGATCAGAATCTTAATTATTCGGATTGTATCCATCGATTGCATAGTTCTTTATCGAGAGGTGTTATTCCAATAATGCCTCGAATGAAACGACTAAGTCTATCCAATTTCAAAATTTCGCCAACAATGTTACTTCCATGTCTACGTCATTTGAAAATGGAAAAAGTGACGATCAACGAATTTCGAATGATTCTTTCACAAACACCATACCTATTCTCGCTGAATATATCTCTTCAAGATGATACATCACATAGTGAAAACTTCTTACTGTTACCTCACTCGGAATTAAAACATCTCACTTTAAAAATTCTCAGTAAGTACAATTGTAATAATGACAAGAGAAGTTGAAGTATTGTGTGAACATTTGATCTTTTATTTGTATTGATAATTGACAGACTCACAAGTTTCAATGGATCAACTTGAACAATTGTTGCTTAAACTAGTTCATCTAACACATCTTGAATTGTATGCTACTGGTCACAATGATTTGGCTAATGGAAATCATTGGCTAATTATGGCAAGTAGTCTCACTATGCTGAAATTCAAGTTTAAAATTCTGGAGACTTTGACCAAGCAGAATCTCGAATCTTTTTGTACTTCGTTTTGGATTGTCGAGAAACGCTGGTGTGTAGCTTATGAGGAAGATTACCTGTTTACAGTGCCGCACTTTACTCCTGTGGATGTTAATATTTCTCAACTTCAACAACAGGTTCCTTGGACAACCTCGGATCCCAAGATGTTCTACAAGCAAGTGACCAAAATTCTCGCGATGCTGTCATCTGATGACATAGTCGGTACTTTGTTGGCTTCCCTTTATCGACGTTTCTATGATTCTACCACTTTACTAAGAATCATAACGACAAAGATCGATCTCTGTCAAATACAAGAAATGACTCTGCTGTCCTTAACAGATATACAGTCATTAAAACCATACTTTCCTCGAATGTCTCATCTTCATCAACTATCCATTGCAGAAGAGATTAATATAGATTCGGTTAAACAAGTCCGAAGCCAACGAATTGAACAAATTCGAACACTTGGAATCGGTCTTTCTACTCAACATACGAGTTACATTATCGAAATATTGTTGCGCATTTTCCCGAATATAGAACATTTACGTGTTTCATCCATCAGTTCGAAAATGGATATGATTCGTTTGATTGATGGATTCAACCATTTATCGGATGCATCATTTATGATTGATGCAACTTTCGGTAATATTGAACAACGTTGGTATTTCGAACCAGAACTCTTGATGTGTGGCTCGCGACGTTTGGCCAAAAGTATTTATACATGTCGATTGAATCGTCTGATTGATCAACAATCGTCTATCATTATACAGGTCTGGATCGAGACTCAAGTAAGTTTCTGTTCTACATAGTAATAATTTCTCACATCATCTATGATTGTACAATGATTTAGCCACAACGATCGTTTTGGACTATACAATGGCCATTACGACGAGGATATATGTGGTATCGATCGATGTATGTTTTTTCCAGGATCCTCATGCCATCCTTAGAAATTCAATATGTCTGGCAAACATTATTCAACTTCTTTGCAAAGATTGCTGCCTTTCTGATCTGACAAAACATTTTTCTAATTTTTCCAGACACTTTTGTTTTACTAACCTTCTTCGCTACATGTTTTAAATCACAAATAAAAAATTGAATTTAATCCTATGTTCCATGAATTTCGTCATAACGATGATAAGCATCTTTTTCAATGAATATCATTTTCTTTAAAAAGATGTTTTTCTGACGCAAAATAAATGACATTGAAGAATAGTTGTTCTTCATAAAGAGCCCATAGTAAAAATATTTCAAAATTTCACGTTAGAACATGTTTTTTTTTGTATTAAGTTGTATGTCTTCAGAAGACTTGATATGCATTTATTTAAATATATTCGAACATATTTTGTTTTTTCTCATCAGAAATGCAAACAAATCGTTTAGGAACATGTTCCATACGATATATTATATTGGTATAACAATATATTTTTTTCCCTAGAAAAGTCTTTTTCTTTTCGATTATCTAGATTTTTCTGCTGAGAAAAACCGAAATACTTTTTTTGTAACGGGGTCATCGCTCTCTTAAATTCACCGCTGAATGACAATGAATCACTTGAGTGTTTCAACAGCACTTTGTTCCTACGATACTGACTACGAGGGGCTGAGTGGGTGTGTGTTTGGATATTGATGTCCAGTCTCTTCACACCTACACGCTCGTTATGTGATCGTCACCTTGAATGTTTTACTTTTGATAAGGGTAATCGTTCTCAGCAAAATACGTAGTTACAGAGTATCTATATTAAAAGCAAAAACAGAAAAAAAAAGTAGATAAGAAAGTTTCATTTTCATTATCTTCCGAAACTAACAAACGAATGAATTGATAGATAAGAAGAGCATCGCATTTATACTATCACAAAAGTCGAATAAAACGCGTTGCTGAAACTTGTACGACAACTTGCTTCAAACCATCGAACTTTGGTAGGCTATTTACGTAAATGAATTGAAAAGGAACATAAGTGTTTTACAATAGCGTATTGAACTTACACCGGTCGACGGAGTTGATCCTTTCTCATTAGCCTTTCATTTGCAATATATTTTGTATTGTTTTTTATGGGTTAATATCGAAGAAATTAGTTAGCAAAATCAAATATTACTTTTTGTCCATACTTAATATGATTATAGACTTATTCGAATGGCATGCAGATCTGTTATTAATGAAATAGATCTCTGTAATACTACACTGCTGTGAATATCGATTTTCATTCTGGCATGAAGTAGATGACTGGAAGTGAAGTTAAATGAGTGCCTCGCTGTAAGTAAAAAATGAAGGCAAGACTGCGGCGAACATCTAGCTCAGGATGTAGAATATGTGTTCCAGAGTTTGGTTGTCTTCTAGCATTGTCAAAATTTGTATTATG